TGGTTTGATTTGTTTAAAAGATTTTTTTTTTCTTTATGTGGTTTGATTTCGTTTGGTATTTGAATATTTGATTACTTTGCAAAGTTTCCTAACAAATTATAATTGCTTTAAGATTAATATATTTGTATTTGGTTTAAATACCCTTTTTTGCTATACTTATATTTGGTTTAGGTATATTTATATTTGTTATGTCTATGTAAATGAGCTATATTCGTTTTGGCAGTCTTTTCTTTTTTTTTTGATATCCATGTGTCCGAACCAGTTTAGGTGTATCTCAACTTCGAATTCGATCCCAGCAGGAACCCAACCCGATCAAGTCGGAGAATCCATGGTTTGACCGGGGACGGGGAAGATTCCCCGTCCCCCTCTCCGTTCTATTTTTTTATATGATAATATTAATATATATAAATTTTATAAATACTTTTTAAACAACGGAGCGGGAATGGGATGACCCCCCGATCCCGCCCGATCCCACCCCACCCTGTTGTCATCTCTAATCACGGGTCAACCATCTAATCCTATTACATTTGGTTGACAAGATAACTCTGTAGGATATTAACTATCATGACAGTCTTATTTCTTTCTCATGCAATGCTTATTTGATTATATATATATATATATATGTAATTTAAGCTTTATTTTTTATATACGTACTTTCAACTATAATTCATCCTTTTTATTTGGGACTAAAATGAATACTTTTTTTTAATACTAAAATCAAACCTTTCGAAAGTAGGTGGGCTGAAATGAAATTGGAAGTATGTAAACAAATTTAAACACGGTATATTATTCATTAATTATCTATCAATTTGACTTATCATCGATTTACAATATATATATATATATATATATATTTATATTTTGGTATTTATTTGACAAAAGGGATCATGGAATTTGAGGCTCATAAATGTTACGAGTGGGCGATTGACCAATAACTAACTATTTAAAGATTTCATTAATAACAATATGCCAATCAATGGTGGATTATTATAATTCAGCCAGTTTCTATAAATTGTAAATCCAAAAACAAGATGAGTTGAATGGTAAATTTATACCTAAGTTTAGTCAGATAAATTCAACTAACCAAACCTTTACTTTCATCTACAATAATTTATTTCTCTTTATATCATTTGGTAATTGTGGTCGCATAGAATAAGGCTTCCAAACAGTCTCAATATTTTTAAGTTTTTGGAGATTTTGTTTTGAAAGTGGAGATTCAAAACTTTAATTTTGAGAAAGATTACTCTGAAGTATGAAATCGAGAATTTATATTTGATATATAAATTTTCTTATTCCAAAGTTATATAAATTCATGTTTATTTTTACAAAATCACAATAGAAAAGTTTAGCATAACTAATATAAAGGTCAAATATATGTTATAGCCTTTAGAATGGTTCTTCAATTTAGTTGCTATTATTTTAAAAGTTTTAATTCAGTACTTTATGTTTTAATAATTTTCAATTAGGTACTTTCACCTTCAGTCAGTGAAGACTGTAGTCGTGGGAGGTGACGACTCTACCAAAAAGTTGCAACAACACAGTTAACAGGCGAGCCCCTTACTCGCACTCCAAGTAAGTGGGTATTGATGGACATAATGACTTAATCAATTGGATTCGCTGAATCAATTTCCTCAAGATCGAATGAGGCTCTCATTGAGATTTATTTGTGATTTGGCCAACCCAAGCTTCTATGTTCTAAATCCGACCTTATTCAATATAGTGAACAAGAATGTGGGGAGCACTTCTCAATCTTATGCCTATCTATTTGTTCAATGTTAAAATTGGTTGGATGATTTTGTTGGATCTTTAGCAAAAGATCAAAGGGGTGCATAACTCTTAGTTTTATCATCCAAATTAGAAACATTTAGTCTACATACTAATTCAGTAATGCGAGTGGCATAAAACTTTGAGAGAGTGCTTAATTAGGGTCTCAGCGATTTTCAGAACCTTACTCGGGTTAGAGTAAACGAGCTTTTTAAAGCCTATAGACATAAGATTCTCAACAAGAAAGGAGCGAAGCTGCTTTACCGAGTTTACGAGGAGAAGGAAAATTGCTTTTTATTTGAATCAGCTTCCCTATATGGTGAAGGTCTATAAAAAGAAAATGCGGCAAAAGGGACTTTTATTTTTGCAACAATAGGAGGAAAAGTCAAAAAGTCAAAAGAGTAGCCGTATATAAGAGAATGTGCTTTATGTTTCATCTTGATGGATTCATTACCTCTATTTTATTTCTCCAATGCCAATCACAAAACTAACTCTGAATGGAGGAAAAAATTTTGTATGACTGTAATATTTTTCACATAGTAGATTTTTCTTTATTGTGGGTCATAGTTTTACCTTGGTTATGAAGTTTTACACGTAAATTACTGTGTTTATTTATTGGTATTTATTTTCTTTAATTTCTCGTCTATTTTCTACTCGTTCATGTGATAGAATATGATATGACGTGGTACCTAGTGAGTCTAAAATTTAGAAGAGTAATGAAACAACATTTGGCAACTTGTAAAAAATTCAGCAAAGAAATTAGAAACTTTCCTCAAATTTCTCATCTAATGGAAGAACACAGACATGATTTTCTCATAAATTAAAGAAAGAGATGGAAAAAGAAAGTTGATCGGTCTGGAGAGGATCCTGGCCGTTGATTTTTGAAAGTCTTCTGGAAACATCAGTGTCAATGGCAGAGATCAGAATAAAAGTTGTAAAAGTTGAATGGAAACGTGGGGCCAACTCTGCTGCAGGCCAAGCCTTTATATTCCTCTCTCTCTCTCTCTTTTATTGACTCAAAATTTGCAATTTGCAAGTGGGAAAATCTCTGGTTTTCCTTTTTCCTTCCACCCACCAAACAAAACTTATTCACTCAAATTGGATTCTTTTAAGAAACAGTTCATCAAATGGAAATTTTTTATATCACAGTGTTTTAATTGGGTATAGAAGATTGTTAGATTCTTTTTGCAAGATGGGAATAAATTTAAAAAAAGGTTAAACAACCAACTTTGTCTCTATAATTCGAATATCTCATAGTTTCACATTAGTTTCAATTTAGTCCACATGGTTTTAAAAGTTTCGATTGGGTCCATATCGTATTATTACAAACTATCACCCTATTGAATTGAATGGTAACAAACTGGTGTTTTCTTTTCGAATTAAAAAAATTGGAATAAATGAGTGGAGTAGATTTTTTAGTAGGTATTAGGGACTAGATTTGACCAAATTATAGGGATCACATCGAAAATTTTTTAAACTATAAGAACTAAATTGAAACTAAACCTAAACGATGAAAATCAAATTGAAACTTAAACTAGAGATCAAATCGAAACTAAGTCCAAAACAATAGGGCCAAATTGATAATTTAACCTAAAGTTAATATTTATGGTAATCTGAAAAACCAACAAAAGAGAAAAGATACGAAAAAAGATAATATTTAACTGTTAATAAGTGAATAGGTATCTTTCTACCTACTACCATTAAAAATTTGACAGCTATTTATTTTATTTCCTCCCTCTGTCTTTATACATTCATCTTTCTTAGTTGCTAACCTTTTAATAGTTGGATAGGTATCTAGTTGGTAGGTAGGAGATACCTATGTACCAATAAACACCTAAATATTATTCTATAAAAAACGGTTATATACCATGAAATCTCGTATGTCCGAGATAACTACCTCTACGTGCTTCCTCAAAAAAAAAAAAAAAAAACTCTATGTGATCTTGAATTAAATCAAAAGAAACTGCTAAGAGAAATATGGATGAAAATTTCCAAAGCATCACAAATTGGAGATGCTCCTTTCATTGATATTGAATTACATATCATTATAGAGCTTTTACACTGCCACTGATGTATGGAGATTCTTCCCCATTCACGGTGTTTCTGAAAGCTTTCAGCCAAAAAAGGAGGGAGATTCCTATATCACAAAGCCATCTCTAATTACTGAGTTCCTTAAGATAATGGTAATACCAGAACGGATGTAAAAGCCTTCTGAAGACCTATCTGCCTCTTGTACGCCCTGCATTTCCATCGTCAAAACGCAAACGAACCGTTTTAAATTCCGTTTCAGTTTCTGAACTTTCATACTTGTTCTGTTTTGTTCCATAAAAAACTTTGTACAACAATCTATTTTCATCGTTTTTTTTTTTCATTATTTTCTGTGGTGTATTTAATAGAATTCTCACATGTTAAACTGGTATTTTAAGCCACATGTATCGAGTTTGGTATTGGATTATGAAACGACACTTCAAAGTGTAAGGACTCAGACTTATAAGAAGCTTGACAGATTTTGAAAATATAATTACAGAAGCTGTTAATTATGAATATCAAAATTCATGTTTAACGTAAAATTGGCTGGGAGAGAATGTACCTCTGAATTAGCAATAACGACATTCTTCCCTATTCTGGCATTCTTGTCAATAATGCAGTCCCTGCTCATCATGATTGTATTAAGTGGTTAATTAAGAACAAGAAAGCAGCAACATGAATAAATTTGTAGGGGAGAATATTTTGAGCCCTTACTTGATTCTTGTATTTTCTCCTATTCCAACTGGTACTTTTCCCTCAGCTAACAGTGCTGCAACCTCACCATCAGTTTCATAGAAGTCAGCTCCAAGCATTACTGTGTCCTGCCTTGCACACAGGAATTTTAATTCGTTTTTCGCCAAAATGATGCACATTCATAGTTAACAAGTGCAAGATAGTGATATGACTGCTTCAAAGTAGGTATATGAGATGGGATTATGTTTGCTTTGCAGTAAGAAAATGCTATTGTAAGTTGTGTAACATTAGAGGAATTTGATCCTTGCAATACAGGTTAGCAAAATTCCATGTTACTTTGTCGATGGAAGTTTTCTGTTGCAGTTTTAAGATATAAAACCGAGTTCAATCTGGACAGACCTTCAGGTGCACATTAGAGTTTAGGCGAGATCGTATGCCGACAACACTGTGCTCTATGAAGCTGTTAGTCAGGAAACATCCGTGAGATATGATTGAATCGACAATCTGCACAACAATTCATAGATGTAGAATAGTAATTAGCATAGAAAAAGTGTTTGAATGAAGTATGTAGCCTTTTCCAGGATATAAGCTTCCGAAAAAGTATCAACTACAGAGAACTAAACTATTTATTAACCTTGCAATTGTCAATCTTTGTTGGAGGTAAGTTTCGTCTTGAAGTGTAGATTGGCTTTGATTCGTCGTAGAAGCTAAACCTTGGTGGCTGAAAGATAAATTTGCGTTATTCCCAAACGATTGTATTTGAAAAAAATTTCACTTGAAACATGGAATGCAGTCCATAACTTCAACTATAAGTGATAAGGTAATAAATTTTTTACAAAGATAAGTTCATATATGTAATGCTGGTGACAAGTTACTATCTCTTTCCAAAACCAGAAAAAAAAAATAATGGAAAAAAGAGGAAATGAAGTGACAAGAAAACAAGCTTCAACTTTTCAGGCATGTTTTGTTGCATGGTCCTGATTTATCTGGATTGCTTCATATATATGCACAGAAAATTTCATTTGTTCATTGTTCGTTCTTCTTCAGAGCCTTACGTGAATTCATGAACGTGCAAGGTAGAAAATTGATTTTAGAGAGATTGGACATGCATCCTTTTAGTGCATACCTGCTCGGTCAGGGCAAGGTTTGCTTCAAAGAAGGATCTAATGGTCCCTATGTCTTCCCAGTAATCATTAAATAGATATGCCTGCAAAAATATGCATCCGTAAAACTTCAAACAGAGCGATAAAGCCATAAACCTTCAACAACAAAATTATACATTCACAAGAGTCAAAACCAACTTCTGATTTTGCAAACAAAATCAACGAATTCTTGAAAGCAAGCATCGCTTCATGCATATGTGCTGAATGATATCTCAGAAAAAAATGGATAGCAACATCCTTTTTGAGCCAAAGTATTCACGGATCTCCCATAAGGTCTACCTTCATCAAGAATTCTCTTGCTGAGGCAGGGATTATCTCTGATCCAAAGTCATTTGCAGTTGGGAAGCGCCATCTGACGCAAACAATTTCTGGCATTTAGAGTCCCATGTTTTAAATTGATTTAAACCAAAAAGTATGCTAGATTTGTATCACTATCTTCTGAAATTTATAGATGAACAAAAGTGGTTGATACCTTTTACCTTAAAATGTTTAGAAGTATCTCCTTTTTGAAGACATAAACTCCCATGGAAGCAATGTATGGCTTTTTCAGTGCCTCATCTTTTGAAAGTCCTAAAACTGTTGTATCCACCTCCTATAACATGCATATGTTAATAAACTTCATCACTGTAGTTCTAAATCAGTAAAAGGGTAAGTCATATAGTGATTTTGTGTTTTTACCATCGCCTTCAGGTCTTTCCCTTTAGGCTTTTCACTGAATGAAAGAACCCTTCCGCTATTGTCTATCTTCATTAGCCCAAAATCCGACGCTCGCCTTTATTTTAAAGGAAAAGAAGACTTGAAAGGATTATTTCCCTTAAAGTCTAAATAATACAGGCTCATAAAAACTGTCAATAACCCAACTGAGTAAAAAAGAATGAAGATAAAACAACTCAATAGTATTACAATTCAAGATCAAACAAATTAGATTTGGGTACCAACCTGAATCTAAAGAACTAATGTGATCCAGCATACCTGTCATCAATTGGGATACAAGAAAGAGTGATATCTGCACCACTCTGCCGATGATTCTATTAATCAAGGGAAAAAAACGCAATATTTAATCAAAGAACTCCCAGTTGTTTGAAAAAGAAATAAAGGAGATAAACTCAAACTCATCCTCTTTCTTACTTGAACAAAGTCCATGTAGTCCATTCGGTACAGGTGATCCCCGGAAAGAATCAGCACATCTTCAATTTCCTTGCTCCTCGCATCCTGCAGTAAAATTAAGTTGCAATATCTGATAAACTAATCTTTCAGAAATTGAATCGCCTTCCTCTCGTCCAATGACAACATGATGATACATCAAATGGTCTAATCATTTAAGTGGTAATGTGGGTAAGAACTTCACTCTACGTCTCGTCTTAAACCAATGATGCAAGTATTTAATATCCCAAACACGACTCTATATTTGAAGGCCTTCGGTGACGGCCTCTTCTCCAACAACACAAGCACAGAGCCATGGTAAGTAAATCGGTCAGACCAAGAAGGAAATTTTTCTGTTTGTGGACCTTTTTATTTTAGTTTGGTGGGCCTTTTCTATTTATCTTTTCTTTTTAGTTTTGATTTTGCTATTTATAATAAATAGGGATAGATAGATGTTTAAAATTGAACACAAATGGAGAATCGTAAAAAATACTTATATAATGAATATGAGAACTTAATACTTGTCCCTCTACGAGAAAGTTTGAAAAACTTGTAAAATGATTCGTGGGTATTTTCTGTGTAAGAAAAAATTAATAAATTAAGAGAATTGGATGTAGTCCATATTAAATAAACTAATATAAATAGTTTTTTTATTAAGTTATTATTCCGAAGTTTTAGATTAATTTATTCTATTTTTCTATTAAATGAGAACTAAGATGCGGTTAAATCTCAATATCTAAGTTGTAAGATCTCTACATATAGCCATATTAAGTGAACTAATTACTTTTCTTATTAAGTTATTATTTTGAAGTTATTAATTTATTCTATTTTTCTATTAAATGAGAACTAAGGTACGGTAAAATCTCAATGTTTAAGTTATAAGATCTTCAATAGGAGAGATGAAACTGAATTAAATGAACCGATCTACTGTTAAATATCAATGTCTAATATAAACTGACGAGAAAGTAAATATATATATATTTTTTTTTTACAGGACGAGAAAGTAAATAAATCGAAGGAATATGTACGTACGAGACAAATATAGTAACTATCATTTCGTTAATTTCTTTAGCTTTGTTAATTTCTCTTCCATAGATCTTTCTACACACTCGCCCGCTCAATTCATAAATGATTTTTCTTAGTACACAATTCACAATGATTTCAAAAATTGGTAAAATGCATTTTATTCCAATTAACTAAACTTCAATTTTGATTAATAAAAGCTTCTTTACAATATTTTTCATAATAATTTTATAATTTCCTATTTTAAATCAATGAAAATATATTTAGGTTTCTTTAATGTCTTTTAAATTTTTATATTCCTACAAGATCAATTTGTACAATAATAATAATATTTATAATTTAAAAACATTGAAAAAAAACAAAACCAATCCAAAATTAGCTTTTAAACCTTTGATGGGGCTGTTTTACGCAAATTTAAAATCTAAACTTTCAGATCCAGTTTTTATATTCAATTTTTTGGATAAAAAAATAAGTTGAATTAATGAATAAAATCATTAATAGAAACACAAAAGAAAAAGTTCTAACTTAAGAGAGAATACGTATTTTCCTTTTCTAGGAGGGATTTTCAAGGGAGAGAAATTCATCTTAAAAAAAACGAGGATAGAAATGAATAGAAGAGAGAGCAAATTGAATTATGGAAGGACTGAGAAAGATTAACTGAAGTTGGAGAAATAAATGGAAGAGAGAAAAAATTGAATAACAAAAAAAGAAAAAGGTAACAAACAGAGGGAGAAGAGAGAGAATTTCTGTGTGTGCCTAGCAAAAAAAAAACGCCTATTTTACTAAATAAGTTCAAAATAACTAGTGTCATCTTGTCACCTGATCAGTATGATTTATTTAGTTAATATAAGGCATACATGGAAGCCACTCAAAAAAGAAAACAAAAACATACATCGAATTCCAGGTTTGAACCTCCACCCTAGAGAACTAGAAAAAGAAAAAATAACTAGGCATGTATAATATGTTTAAAAAACCACCGTAACCTCTCAGTTAACCCGCTGCTATATATCTTAGTCAAGTTATCCCGGTGAGACTCAGATGAGGTGAAAGAAAAAACAATCTCTGAATTCTATCTTCCATATCAAAACATGAGAAATTTCTCTGCACTATTCCATGTGATCCTGTTTGTTTCTATAAGACTTGTCCATGCCAATGTATCTAATCAAACGATTGGGATATATGAGCTCAAGAAAGGAAACTTATCCGTGAAATTTACCAACTTCGGCGCCTCCATTGTCTCTGTTGTTGTGCCAGACAAATATGGAAAACTGGGTGATATCATTCTAGGGTTTGATTCAGCACAGGAATACGTTGTGAGAAAAGGGAACTTCGGCGCCATTGTTGGACGGGTTGCTAACAGAATAAGCAATGCTCGATTTACCCTAAATGGAACCGAATATAGATTGGAAGCAAACAATGGGAACAACACCATCCACGGTGGTTCCAAAGGGTTCGGTCATGTCATTTGGGAAGTAAACGAGAACAAGACTGAAGGTGCTGATCCTCAGATTCATTTCACTTATCGGAGTTTCGACGGAGAAGAAGGATTTCCAGGAGACCTTATTGTCACTGTGAGCTACTATCTCCGCTCAGAAAACCATCTAGCTGTAACAATGAAAGCCATTGCCCTAAATAAGCCAACGCCTGTGAATCTAGCGCAACATGCCTATTGGAACCTTGGTGGCCATAACAGTGGGGACATTCTATCTCACGAACTCCAGATCTTCGGGTCCAAAATCACTCCCGTAGACAGCCAGCTGATTCCGACAGGTGAAATCAGGGCCGTTCAGGGGACCCCTTACGATTTTCTCAAACCCCAAATCATCGGGAAAAATATGAACAAATTACCAAATGGGTTCGACATCTACTACGTGCTCGATGGATCGAAGGGGAAAGGAAACAGAAAAGCTGCTACTCTGCGAGAGAGGAAATCTGGACGAGTACTGGAACTGTGGACGACGGCAGAAGGGTTACAGTTTTACACAGGAAATGGGCTAAAAAATTGTACGGGAAAAGGAGGATTCGTCTATGAGGCTCATGATGGGCTTTGTTTGGAGGCTCAAGGATTCCCTGATGCGGTTAACCATGCCAATTTCCCTTCACATATTGTGACGAAAGAAACGCCCTATAAACAGGATATGCTGTTTAAGTTTTCGACCGAATAACTTCAATCGCAACCACAGGATAGATGATTATTATGCTTTGATTCTTTGATGAACAAATAAATCCAAATCACAGTTCGTACGAATTAGAAATGTTCTAGGACTCTAAACTGCATCTAATCTGTAATGATTGTTCTAATTTTCACAAGTGGTTCTTTTATTCTTAATTTGAGCGATTAGTTTCACTAACAATGAAGAAATTGGTACCTCAAAAAGCCAATGGAACTGTCGTACGGCATCGGCAGTCCCCTGGAACCACCGCTTCCCTGCCTCTCCCGGAGTTTGAGTCGCCGCGAGAACCTGCAGTCGTAATAACGAGAATCTCGTCGGAATATTTTACCGCTCATTTTTTTCCCCGGAGAATGCAAAACGATTAACCGACTTGAAGAATTAAGAAATTACCTCAATGTAGCCATCGCCCAAGGTGACTCCGCTGCCGAAGTTGTAGGCGCGAGCGAGATGCCTGTTGAGCGATGTGGAATTGAACTGTGTGAGAATATAAACTTTGTTGATTCCACTGTTTATGCAATTGCTCATCGGCACGTCAATCAGCCGGTACGCTCCACCGATCGGAACCTGCAATTAGTGAAAAATTAAAGAGAAGACATCAACCAATCCGATAAGAACAGATTCAAAACAGCCAATAAATACCGCAGGCTTTGCTCTCTGCTTCGTAAGCGGGAACAAACGAGTACCAGCTCCTCCTCCCAATATAACCGCCACCACCGTCCTCGGATCCCGTTTTTCCATGTTCAATTCCCTCAACTACATTAAACCACCGCTAAAACTTCAATTTCTTATCCCAGAGTTTGAAGAATTTTTTCTCGGAAACACGTTCAATAAAATTTTGAAATAATTGCACCAGCTTGCCTTGGATTCGGCCGCGATATTGGCAATGAGAGACATACGAACTTTTCGTCGAACATTTGGAATAATGTTAGTAAAATTCTGTTTCCTCTGTTGCAATGTAAGCTTCCTACCCATAAACTCTCCATTACAGAACCTCACCTGCAGCTTGGAGTTCGTAATTTTCGGCAATGCCATTGCGGCGTGCAAGTGCGCAGCAGCCGAGAGCGATACTCGGCCATCGGCACAGGCTACCATCTCGTTCAATGCGGGAAAAATATGAAAGGAAGAAGAAGAAGAAGATTGAGAAGTATAAAGAAATTACCTGCAAGTGTTTGATATGGAGATGGAGAATCAGAGAAGGCGCGAGATATGATTTGGGTAACGTGGAGTGCGATTTGGGTCCACTTTATCCAAATTCAATGGCTTCCACCAATTTCAAAATTTCACCAAATTCCATGGCTCCTATCCTCCATATTTTCCTCTCTTCTAAAAATCGACTATTTTGGTCCCTAATTTTATTTTTGATATTATTTTTTCTATCAAAATTTTAGACGACAGTATATCCCATATAATTTTTAAAATGTAATTGCGATTTTTTATTAAAATGTTTCATTATGTATATAATTTATATTAAAATTATGCAACAGCAAGATTAAAAAGTATAGGACCAAAACAAATATTTTGGAAGTATATGTATTAAAATCCCCGATAAAAATGAATTAAAATGGAAAGTAAATAAACCAAAATAATATTTTAACCTTAAAATATTAACAACTATTCAATGTATTTTCTTTCTTATTTATTGTGTTTTGTCTCTATTCTTTTGTGTCATATATATATATATATATATATATATATATATATATATATATATATATATTTGTCATCTTTTAAAAATGGTAGGTAAATCCGAGTAGAGAGGAGAAGTACATGAACCGATACCACAAATAAGAGGGATCTTGAGACCATAAAAGCATGGTCAAGAAAGCTTAAAATAATTGATAGTCACTGTCTATAGTATAAGGTGCATTTTCCTTTTCGATAATTTAATCGTAAGGTTGGGTGACCTCTTAGTTGCTTTATTAGGAAACATGTGAGTAAGGACAAAGCGTCATTCTTTTCGGTAACTCAATCGTAAGAACTCCAAAATATATTAAGCGTGCTTGACTTGGATCAATCTTCGGCTGGGTGATGTTCTAGTTGTTTTACTAGACGGTGGAATCCGGATTTTGAACCCTAGGTTGGGGCGTTACAAGTTAGCACTAATTTTATCCTTTTATTTATATTCTTCATGTAGAAACCGATTCAAGTGTAGCTCAATAAATTATCCAATTCTATGATTATTAAAAAATATTAAATTATTAAATAATAGGGAGGTGGCCATTACAATTTTAATTTCCTAACTCCGAAATTTTCAACAATACTTTGGTAAGTGCCTATTTTGTACTTACTTTCGATTAAAATTTGTCAACATTTTTTTTACTTATCCAAAATTTAATAATGGGTTAGCAAAAGATTGATATTGACTTCAATAGTGTGTTCCAATTTGATTGAGATGATGAGGTGGCCCATGAATCTTCCAATTCCTTTTGTCTTATTTGGCTCAAAAGAATTTGGGGTTATTCACAATAATTTGGATGTTGGGAATTTATTTGTGATGTAGATGATTATATATAGAGGAAGGTTATTTTGTGCAAAAACTAAATTGTTTTCATAAATATCTTGGTGGGACCTCCGCGGTGGACAGGGCTTCCAGTTCCGTCCATGAAAGCCACTGCCAAACCCAGTCGTTGGAGGTTCACTGGTCCCAGTGATGCAGCAACCATTGAAGTTGCTTCTCATCTACTCCATCAAAAAAGCCTCATCTAGCCATAACTATTTCTGAGACCTACAAATTTCCTTCGTTTCTTTGTACTCCTGTTCCTTGCCATTTCCAGAGGACCCATCTTCTTCCCTTTTCTGCTTCGGCAACAATGGCGAACTCACGCCTCTGTTTTCTTCTTCCTCTGCTCCTCGCCTGCGTCTTCGTCTCGAATCGCCCAGCCAAATGTGACGGTAACACCCTCTTTCTCTGCCTCGTTGATTCTCTAATCGGCATTTAGAAACCCCAGTTTGTTTACTTGAATGTAGATCTCGATTTGTCGTGCATTGTCATTTGAGATCTGGGTTCGTCCAATCTTGTTTTGATGCTGGGATGGAGTGTTTTTTTGGGAGATTTGTTTGATTGAGTTATGTTTTGAATTGGGCATCCGTTTTGGTGGTTTTCTTTTTCCGTTCGTGATTTCAACTTCTTCTTGCTTTGGATTAGACGGATTCGCGCGGGAGAAGTAATCTCTTAGATTTGCTCTGTTCGTAATTAAATCTGTATTAATGGAAGTGGTTTTCTGCTCTGCATGGAGATCACTACAGGTTTAGATGGTTCTTTTTAAGACTGATTATGCTTGTTTATGAAATCAATTAGGAATTGGGATCCTACGGGCTATGGCTGCCAAATTATTGATCTGTGTTGCCATTTTTTGTGTCCAGTGTAGCATAAGGTTGAGATTATTAGCAGAACAACTTGCTTTCTTAATGCATCCATGGCAGAGCAGATTCTTTTGTAAATTACAACTACTCATGATGTAGTCTCTTGGTTTCAGACTATTTTGATAAGGGGACATTCTACTTTCAAGATTTGAAACTATGCCTCTTTGTGTTTTATCTTTCTTCATTAACGGAGCATGAACCTTGCTCCTTGTATTATGCTCATGACTCGTCCCCTCTAATCTTCGGCGAGCCTTTGTCCACCCCAAGGCGAGCTCGGAAAGACAACAAAAGTTTTAAGTTATTAAGTTTTCAAACCCCTTAGCTTTGAGAGTGTCTCTTTGTCCATCTTGAAGAAACTAGTAGTGATTAATGTGGTAGCGAAGAACCATCTTGCATACTTCACAAATTTCTTAGTCAAGTCGAAACAACATTAGTTTTATAAGTTTTCAAGTTTGGTCTGTTCATGTTTCTTCTTGCTAAGAACTGGATAGAACTCGAATTGTTCCGAAATGTTACCTGCTGGGTTCTCGCTCTGCAGAGACCTTACAGGCATTGTTCATTATTTGGTTGCTTCATTAAATGAAATAAGTTTGGTTTCAATCTCCCTTTGTACATATTTTATATGCCATGAAATTCCTACAGATGAGGATGATCTTCATAGAGGTATCAACAGTTATCGTGCGATCTTGAACTTGACAGCGCTGACGGAGAACGACAATGCGGATTGCCTTGCTGAAGAAATCGCTGACAAATTAAAGCATCAACCTTGTACAAACACCACAGGTTCCAACGCAGTAGCCGGAACTGAACCTCAATTCCCCGACTTTCCAAACCTGTTAGCCAAATGCCATTTGAACATCTCCAACACAAGGGATGGAGCAATAATGCCTGCTTGTGTTCCAAACCGTGTACCTGATCTCGTTCTCGCTAACTTCACGAAATCTCAGTACTCGGGGAACCTTAATGATACCAAGTACACGGGAATCGGCATTGGTACTGAAGATGACTGGGTTGTTGTTATTCTTACCACCAGCACACCAGAAGGAAGTTATGTGACAGCGGCAAAGAACACGGCCACTCTGGTTTCTAAGATTGGTTTGTTCTCCCAGTTGCTGTTCTTGATGCTGTCTTTTGTCTCACTGTTGTAGACCAGGAGAGGATTTCTTTGCCTTGGTTTGCTTGGATCTTAATACTTTTATTGACCTGATTTTCGATACGAGACAATTCAAACTATACTATCGTATTCGTATTTTGTACGTTTGAAGTAATTCTCCCACTAGTCGATATGTATGAAAATTTTCCTCGTTCTCTTTTACTAAAGGATGTGAAAGTGAATGAAAGAAAGAACTTCGATGTTGAAGAAGTAATTTAATTTATGTATATTGTTCGTCAAGCAGGTGGCTTCTTGACTGAAGAAACAGAGTGCAATTATGCTTGCAGAAGATATTTGCTTTTATCTTTTTCCTTTAATCTTTTTCTTTTTGAACTGTCTGATAACAGAATCATATTGCAAACAAGACAATGGTCATTATTTTTCTCAATCTCTTCTAAACTCTAACCATTAACGATACTTGTTTCATCCTATAATCAATCTAATAAATAGATTTAGAACAACAACTATATAATTAACCCGTTCACCCAATTGAATATATCAGAGTAGAAATTGAACCTACAGCCTTTTAGAGGTGCTTTAACCACTATCTTTAGATTGACCAGTTCATACAAATTTTACCCCTCTTATTGAACTCCATATGAGTAAGGGCTACATTCCGACCATTAAAAACTAAAAGCCATGAAAAACTAAACGAAAATAGATAATGACAACAATGATTGCTGATACAGCCTATGACATGCAACATATTAAACAAGGCATTATATAATCTGTTGTTCATTCCTTTAATTTGCAGATTGCAGAAATCCAATTGGGACTTTCTTAAATCTTAGTATCACTTGTAAAGTTTTCCAGTATGATGCTTAAACTCAAGCACCCTTTAATCTTGTATTGGTTACAAAGAGATACCTTCTAAGTGCAAGCAATATGATCCAAGAGCTCTTTGCAATCTTCTCTTTTATCATCAAAAGTAATGCAGAGCTCAACACAGTCTTCAGAATCTGCGCCTGTAATCCTTTGAAGAATCCTAGAATGCCTTCTCTTTTCCAAATAGTTTTGAGTGCCCCTGATACGGTTTTCTGAGCACCGTGCTGTTCTGCCTCGTTCCTTTCTTGATCTGATTCTGCAGCCTGGATCACAATCTTACACCTGTATGTAAACTTCAATACTTGATTTTTGGAGAAAAGATGCAAAAAAACATAGTATGTGATGAGGATTTCTAAGCTATGGCAAATGTAAAATTCACTTTGTCTTCAGAAGAGATCCAGATGAAACAAGAATTTCCCTCAAAATCTGGTAATGTGTTCCTCGACAACTCTTTAACTTTTAGTGGCAATGCATAGCGAATTTAAATGTTATCCAGAAGATTGAAAATGAAATCTAGCATGGGTGAAAAAGGCCTCAATATTGGGACAAGTAGCTCAAACTCATTTTCACCTGATAGCAGGGTATGTCAAGACTGTAGCAACACATTTCGAGAGGGCGCCAAGCAGAAAAGCAGAGAAGGCTGAGAGAGCTTCCGGGGATGACTCTATACCTGATTCATGCTTCAGCTGCGTCCTGAGTAACCTTTGTTTCAGTTGATCAAACACAGTGTACTGTGATTCATGCTATGTTAGTTTCTCTCGAGTCTATTAACATTTTCATTCCAGTTTCCATGCAGGTAAAAGATATCAAATGAAATATAACTAGCATAGCAAATAGCTGATCCACCAGCATGGTAGTTTCTGAAAGCAATCTGATTTGAAAGTTGGAACATTGGATCAAAAAACTCTAAGAAGCGTGCAGCAGCAATTGTATTAAATGAGTTCCAAATCTGAGTAATATGTAGAATCTTCAAAATGAATCCTGGGTACCTGAATAGATGGGTTCGATGTCAAAAGAAGGGATATTCCGAGACCATCAAATGCTTCACGCCAGGTACCTTCCGCAAGTGTCTTCCAGAGTCCTTTGGACTTCCCAAACTCACTTGTCTGCATCCTTGAGGATGCTGTATCCAAAGGCTGAAATGATAAACTACGGGTTAGATGACCATCCTCAGAACAGAAAATAATTCACTGGAGGTTCTGTGTTTCACCGCCAAAGGGCAAGTTCAAGAAAACTAATGAAAATAGTACTAATTTCACCCTCACCAATTTTCCTAAACAGCATAAACTCAGCCTCCCAATTTCAGGGAAAATAGCCAAAGAACGATATGATATAACAGTTCAATGTCATGGAGCTACGGTATATTGAGGTTAATGAATACAAACTAGAAGCCAGAGGAAGAGGGATCCCAGCCAAATTACATCTACACAACAGTATTTCCAATTGAGGTTAAAGAAGAAACGACTATAATTACAGAACATCTTCTGAAATCATAGGTTTTTCAATGATGAACATAAAAATGTGTTGTTTAGTTAATTCCACCTGTGTAGCTATGACTGTACAAGCTCCAGCAGCTGCAGCAACAATCAGATTTGCTTTTGCTCCAATTTTTTGGTTGCCACTCCTCTTCAGGTAGATCCTTTTAAGAAAGCTGTACCCATAGAAGTAGATGAACGATGAAATAAAGGACTGGAAATTCTTTGTGCCAAGACCCTGGTACAACGAACCCACATGACCAGTTGAAATTGCTTCCCACAGGACATCAGTTATGTTTCTGCATAAGGAGAAAAAGTTGTAAAATTACACAAATTTCTCTTGGCACAAGCATCATTCAACACAATCATTTTAAATCACGGTATAGCCTAAAACAAAACATCAAACAAATATACAGGCAATGACCACAAAATTCAAATATGCAAACGGTCTACAATCTCCATTATTGAGAATCTTCACGTTCTCCCTCCTCAAGAAAGCATACATGGTCACTCCCTCATTCTACAAAAAGGAAGAAGAAGAAGAAAATGGTAACATGTCAACCAGAGAGCTACATGCAGAATAATAGTGATCCATCCCCTGGGATGTGCGGGAGATGTGCATATCCCAACAAATTGAAATCCCTGGATAATGACACTTGAACTTTACAGTGGAAATGTCCCAATTTCAGAACCACAGCAGTGCAGTCGAGTCATTAATGTAATCTAATACCACGAAGCAAAAATCTAGGTCAGGAAATAGAAAAGGGGGAGAAATCAAAGGTAAGAATCGTAAGATCATGAACAACAAAGTTAAACTTCCCCACCTAACTAAAAACACAAAACAGATTCAACCCAAAATTCTAAACAACCTTGTGGGAAATGTCAAGCAGTTGCATGAGGCGCGAGCAAGAAACTAGCAGTGGAAGGAGAAGGGCATAAACAAAACAAACCTGTACTTCCGGTGATGGTGAGATTGATTCTCAGCTTGATATTTAGTTTTACAAGTATCGAGAGGGTAGAGCGCGGTGGTGCTAACCAGAGCTCCAATGGCTCCCGATGTTGCCTCCGCCACAGATTCCAGATCAAACCCCATCCCAATTCCCACCCACCCACCCAAGAAGGCAAACAGCCGATAATGGAGCTTCAGCGGGATGAACAAAAATGGCTACAGATGGGAAGCAAATGAAAGTGACGCGAAGAGGAAATTTATGGGTTTTGCTTCGGAACAGCAGTTGCATACGTATCTTCTCGGGAATCGGAACCGTGGAATCAATTGACCCAAAATTTCAATTTCAATTACATATACGCTGTGACTGTGAGGTGACTGAGTTGTGACGAAACATGGTAAGATTATAAAGATATCTTGAAGTTGCTTATCCTTCTTCTTCTTCCGTGGAGATTTTGATCTCTCTGTTTTTGTTCGATTTTGATTTCTTGTTTTTCCATAAACGGTTACTAGAAAACAAAAAGAGGTTGATTTGAAGCAATTAACTTGATTTGTTGCTGCTTCAATTGTTTTTAATTTTTACTTTTCTTTTTTAGTGAAATTTTTACTAACTAATTCGAATGACTTTTGATTACTATTCTCAATTAACTTGGGATTACTTTGATAAATCAATTTAACTTTGATTTTGGTTGAAACAATTTGAGATGAAATGACTAGTTTGTGGTTATGTTGGCTCGCGAAAGTTGCACTTTCAAATCTACAGATATAATATTCTAAAAAAAAGAAAAAAAAACCACTTATATTTATACTTTCATAATCAACTTACACTCAAATTGTGAGTCTATCAAGAATTTTCGTTGAAGAATCATCCGCAGGTTGTTGACATCGAATTTATTGATTTAAAGAAATGAGTTCATATTATATGATGACTACTCTCCCAAGACTTTAAAATTATAGGAACGTTTATTAACAACCAAATATCATAAGATGAAGCTAATCTGAACAGCTAAATTGGTTAAAACAGAGGTGCGTAAGTTCAAATCTTCACCCCATCTATTATACTATAAACAATGTCACATGAGATTAGTTGAAATGTGGGTAAGCTGATTCTTTAAAAAAAAAATAGAACAAGATGCCACTTGGGCTACATGTGAATCAATCTCCTTTTTGTCTCACGCAAAGGTCATATGGGAACTTGAGAAGTTATTGTAATTTTGAATCACCGATTTATATTTGTGATATAGTATTCTAAACAAGAAAAGAAAAACTTTTGCTTATATTTACAATTCCATAATCAATTTACACTCAAATTATGAGTCCATCAAAAATTTTCGAAGAAGAATCGTCTACAAGTTGTTGACATCAAATTTATTAATTTAGAGAAATGAGTTCATACCATATGGTGACCACCTAAATAGGACATAAAAATTACGAGAGCATTTAAATATATATAAAAATAAAAATGTATATGCATAGGAAGTGAGCATTGTCACCTAAGATTAATTGGAGTGTGGATAGGGTAGTCTTTTCCTTTTTTTTTTCTTTTAGATAAAACAAACTTCATTAAATTAAATGAGATGTTACTTGGGCATACATGTGAAAAATTTTCCTTTTTGGATTTACGTAGAAGTCTTATGGGAACTTGAGAAGTCAATCCTGCCCTTTTCAAACATCTCCTTTGTAATTTAGAATCACCCATTTATATTTGTCATAAAAGAAAAAAAAACATTCACTTATATTTACACTTCCATAATCAACTTACATCCATAAAAAAAAGAAAAAAAATAGTACAACATGTGAGGGTGGAGATTCGAATACACGACATTTTAATCGGATATAGGTGTCTTAACTTATTGAGCTATGCTCTACCTAACTCGGGAGTTCATCAAGAATTTTCATCGAAGAATTAGCTATATGTTGTTGACATTGGATTTATTGATTTAGACAACCTACTCAAGACATTAAAATTATAGAAGTGTTTATTAACAACTAAATATCATAAGACGAAGTAAATCCAATTAGAATCGGTACGGTTTTTTTAGTGGAGATACAACAAACTTAGTTAAATTAACTGAATCAAAATTTATTCTTTGACCTTAGGTAGAAAAAGTCATATGGGAACTTGAGAAGTCCATGACATACAATTGCTTTTCTAGAATACTACATAAATCATATATGTTGTTGATTTACATTAATGGGTTAACATCAACTTTTAAATATCACGATAAAAGACCAGTTCAACGGTAATTGACATATATCTCCAATCAAAGGGTTGTGAGTTCGATCCCCAACTCTACATGTTGTACATTAATGGATTAAAGTCCTATGGTGTGGAAGATTGTCACATGATTAATTGAGATGTCTACAAGTAAGTCTGGATACTACAAAATATTTATATAATATTTTTTAAATTCAATTTAGATTTTCCTATTATAATTAAATATATATTTTTTTAATTCAACATCATGGGATGGCTTTGAATCCACAATATTTTTTTAATACAAATCTGGCACAGGGAAAAGGTCAAATAATTTAATTACCTTGTTTATAATTAATAGTATTATATATTTTATCAGCATAAAGAAAGTAGAAACCTTCGAGAATGGAGCAAATATAAAATACAAAAAGTAGAGGGTCAGATCTGCAAAAACTTCAAATGTTAGTGCAAAGACGTCAATTTCGTCAAATTATTTATTTTCGAAAACAGAAATTCGACCGTTGTTTTCTCCATTCAAATTCCCACTCTGCGACAGTGAGAATGGGTCTTATTGAACCCTAAAACACTCATTTCCCCCAACTCCATCTCCACACAATTCCATCAATTTTCTCCAGAAATCGAGTTTTAATTTCACGACGATGCAAGATTTCTTCGGATCCGTTCGCCGATCCTTGGTGTTTCTTACTCCCGACGGCGACGATGGAGGGCGGTTCGGTGGCCTGGTCGAGAAGATCGGCTCGAGCATCCGCAAATCTCGAAATGGACTCTTCTCTAAGCATTCCGTGAGGGCTCTGCCTCCAGTTATGAAGGAAGACGCACCTCCGATTTGGTGGCGGAGGGGAGAGTTGATCGGATGCGGTGCTTTTGGTCGTGTTTATATGGGGATGAATCTAGATTCTGGAGAGCTTCTTGCGGTCAAACAAGTCAGTAATTTTAGATTTAGTTATGCAGTTCGTTTTGTTATAATGTATTTTGGATTTTTTTGATTCTTAAATTCCCCTGCATTGGTTGCAGGTCTCAATTGCTGCTAATAGTGCTTCGAGGGAGAAAGCACAAGTGAGGACGTTTACTGATTGAATGTTTTTTAGATGTAGAGGATTTGCAGTAGAAATTAGACGGCAGTTTTTTCAGTGTTTTTCTAGGTTCTTATTGAATTCACAGTATACATTCTCACCATTTCTATTTAACATAACTACTTAGGCTCACATACGGGAGCTGGAGGAGGAAGTGAAGCTTTTGAAGAATCTTTCTCACCCCAATATCGTGGTGAGTAGAATCTTTAGAGTCTTTCCATTCTCCTCATCTATGTTGCCGGTAGCTCCTTGCTTATGTTCCTTATCGTGATTTTTAGAGATATCTGGGAACTACCAGAGGGGAAGATTCATTAAATATTCTACTGGAGTTTGTTCCTGGAGGATCCATATCATCTCTGTTAGGGAAATTTGGATCTTTCCCCGAGTCTGTAAGTGGTTGTATATTGTATCTTGAATCTTTAAACTTCTTGATATTGAAATAGCGTTGATATTAATGTTGAAATTTTGCAAATGATTATTGATTTTGTCCAAAAATAGGTTATAAGAACCTACACGAAGCAGCTTTTATTGGGGCTCGAGTACCTTCATAAGAACGGCATTATGCATAGGGATATAAAGGTGATAGTGAAACCCCTTTTTGAGAAGCAAAAGATTTAACTTTTAACCTTTGTTTGTCAATTTAACTGGGATAATCTACAACTCGATGTAGGGTGCAAACATTCTTGTAGACAATAAGGGGTGTATTAAACTTGCAGATTTTGGTGCATCTAAGAAAGTGGTTGAGCTGGTATTGTCCATTTTTTTATCTAATTTAATGATCTGAATTGATTATTATCATTCTCCACCTAAAAATTAGCATCTATGCAGGCAACTATAAATGGAGCCAAATCAATGAAGGGTACTCCATATTGGATGGCTCCTGAAGTTATTCTCCAGACTGGGCATAGTTTGTAAGAATCATCATCTTATTGTGAATAGATTTATTTGCTTTCACTGTTTCGCTCCATGCCATTGATGTGGACATATGTTTTTAATACATTGATACAAATGCGCTGAAATTTGAACCATGCCAGTGATGTGGGCCCATATATTATAGTTCATATGCTAGAAATGCAAATGTGCTGAAATGTATTCTGAAATTATTGAAGAGTAAAGAAAGTAACAATTTTCTTATCAAGATACTACCATTTAGATCTCACGTTGTTCTTAATTTGATGTCTTAGCCCTGCTGATATATGGAGTGTAGGCTGTACTGTTATTGAAATGGCAACTGGGAAGCCTCCATGGAGCCAACAGTATCAAGAGGTAAGCAAGTGAAATTTGCTTCCATATGCACGTATGTATATTTACATTTTCTTCGAATACTTCATAAATTGAGTCAATGTTATTTTCAGGTTGCTGCTCTTTTCCATATAGGGAATACTAAGTCCCATCCGCCCATTCCTGAGCATCTATCTGCTGAGGCAAAAGATTTTCTGTTAAAATGTTTGCAAGAGTACTTTCGAAACTCTGACTTTAAATCTTCACTTAGATTTTTTCCCTTTTTGTTATATTTTTTTTTTGTTTTTTGTTTTTTGTTTTATTTATTTATTTAAGAATCAATTACAGCTTCATCTTTGATAAGATTAGATTGAAACGTATGCACTGTTCTCTGTAATCTTATTATTAATATCTAAATGTTCTCACAGGGAGCCAAACTCAAGGCCTACTGCATCAGACTTGCTGCAGGTATATCTGAATTATTAAAGGGGTTTCTTATCAATTAAGACTAGCATTTATTCGTGTCCAAGAAAGTAACTCTAATTATTACCAATTTTCCATGGATATGTGTAGCATCCATTTGTATCATGTGAGTATCAAGATCCTCATGCAGCAGTCCGTGCCTCTTCTGTGGTCTGTATAATTGCTGCCAACTTTGTAACTTCAGTTTCTTTGACGTTTTTACTATACCATCTTAACATCATTGTTATTGCAGGAATCTGGGAAACAGATGGTTGGCTCTGGGTTGAATTCTAATGATCTGTAAGGATTTCAATTGATGATCGCTGTTTTGAGTGCATGATTTCTTGCCCACTTTTGAACTTGGTGGACTCTTGACTATTATGTTCATGCTGCAGAGCAAATTCGACAATCCAACGTTCAACCTGCGTGGGCTTAAAGGATATTTGTGAAATGGGTAGCTTGAGGTGCTCTTCTGTTTATTCAGGGAACTACACGTCGCAGTCCAATTGGGGCTCAAGCAATTTTGAGGAGGACATGTGTCAGATAGATGATAAAGATCTGTTGGTTAGTCCATCGATAAAGTACAAATCTATTATATCGTCAAGCGATTTGAATAAGGTACATATTGATTCTCTGATTTATGTTATTTATTGTTTTAATAACAAGAATAAGAATGAGCAGCTTTTCCATTTGAACCAGAGTTTCAATCCTATGTGTGAACCCACCGATGATGACTGGGCATGTAAATTGGATGGGAGCTCAGAGTTGGGAGGCAATTTAATGGACTTGTCTGGAATTCAAACTAGCCAGGAAACTACTTGTAAGGAGAATGACTTTACTTTTCCATGTGGTCAATCAGCAGTTGAGGATGATGAAGAAGTTACTGAGTCAAAGATTAGAGCCTTCCTGGATGAAAAGGTACTTCTATTCTCCAAGATATTTCTCAAGAGATGAATTCTTTTCAAAGCTTTCATAATGCAGCATGATGTTTTTTACATTAGAATTAATGTTTCTACTGTGAAAATAAACATTAGGCTATAGAACTGAAGAAGATGCAAACACCTTTATACGAAGAGTTCCGCAGCACAATTAATGCAGCTAATGCTTTAGGAGCAGTTGGAACTGAGAATAGCAAGAGTGTATCTAATTTCTTGAAATTGCCTCCCAAATGTGGGTCACCAAGTAAGCTGCGTGGTAAAAGACTCTCATCAATTGATGCTAGTAACTGTTCCAGCCGTCAGAGTCGCATAAAACAAGCTAGTATATTGGAAGATCGAGCTCTGCAGGAAATTCAATCGCCTCAGCTTGGTGAATGGAACAAATTGCTTCACACGCAGCCAGAATCTTCCACGCCAAGGTTGTAATCTAGTAGCTTATATTTCTAACTTATCTATGGTAAGTTACTTTAACAAGTACCATAATGGAAAACTTGCTTTCAGTTTCTCTGAGAGACAAAGGAAATGGAAAGAAGAGCTTGAGGAAGAACTTAAAAGGAAGCGAGGTATGTTCACTTCGATCTTATGATATTAGGCCTGGGATTTCGTCTAACTTCTGTCATTTTGCCTGTTAAATGAATTCTGTGTTAGTTTATCTGCATATTGGCTGGCATGGATTATTTATTCTAAAAGCTGCATTCAATTCAGTTTCCAGTCAATTTTTTACAGATCACGCAGATCCTGTCCAACATTCTATTAAAATCGAGATTTTCTTTAAATTTTTTCTATTGGAATCAACATAAACTTTGGAATTTCGATGTCTTTTGGCTCGTGAATTCAAAATGTACCTGTGAACCATGTGCGGTTGAGATCTAACCATTATCCAGTTTGATGGTCAACAGAAGAGAATGTATAGTGAGATTCATTATGAGTCTATTTGAAGTATAGGATTGTTGACTGTAAGATACTTTGGCTCTCCCGTCTTCTCAACTGAAAACAAGTCGAGCTTGTGTTGGATTTGGGGAGAAAAAGATAGCGTTATGCATAAAAACTACTGAATTGAACAGATAGCCGTGGCTGATTTAGACATATATTCACTTTATTGAAAAATGAAAATTTACATTTATATGTTTTCTGCTATATTTACATAATAATATACTGGAAATGTGATGGTGTAAATGTCGTCCTTATCGCAGAAATGATGCGCAGAGGAATTGTATGAGCAATTCACTAAAACCGCCATCATCTCCAAAGGGTCGAGGAGTAAAAATCAACCAAAAAAAGCATGGTGAGAAGCTCACATCGCCTGTCAGATAAATATTGTGTGTAGCTATGCATATCTGTGGATAAAATTGCATTCTCATAGTTGCAATTGTTAGAAATGTGTGTACATTATCACCAGAAAAGCTCAGTAAGGAGGGTGCTCCACATCCAGTTCTCATGGCCCAGCACAGAGCAATCTCATAGGGAGCAGGTTCAGGCATCTCAACTGGAAGATTCTGATAAGTCATATCTTTACATTTCTTTTATTTGATTATTTGTTAACATTTGCTTCCCCCCATTATTATCTTCTATGTTATTGGTGGAAATTTGTGACTCGGAAAAGCCTTGTAGTCGATGATCCACGTGTGAATCGTTCGAGTTCAATACAAAGAAATAGAGCTTATTATAACGTCGTGTATTGTAAGTGTCCTCTGTCTATTTGTCTCAATGATGGAAGATAACTTTTTGAGTTTGAATATTGGTGCTCAAGAAACTTACTGAATTTCTTCTTACAGAGTACCTTATAATCATAGTCAAAACTCATTGTTATTACACATTGTATTACATGATTTTGGTTGTGTGAAGAATCTACTGTCGTAGAATTTTAGTGAATTGGAACTAGGAATCCTTTTTAGGTATCTGAACCTCTAAAGTTAAAACATTAAAATCCTCAAATTGATTCGATTTTAACCTTAAGATTTAGACTAGACACAGACTCCTTTAAGATCAAAGCTCTCAAGAGAAGAACAATTTCTTTGATCTTCAACACTTCATAAGATAGAATGATCAAATCCTACATGAAAGAAAAAGTTCAAAGACTAAATTAATTCATCAAATATTAATCTGTCAAACAAACTCCCGACTAATTCATACATGCTACATCCGAACATCATAATGCAAAAAGACAAAAATACCCTAAAAAAGGATAAAAATTTAGAAAGCAATAAATTTACATCAAAATTATTTAATAAATGTAGATCATAATTTGAAGTCCTCAACGGTTCATTGAAAATTGGTTTTCTTACGTTCTTTTGAGTTTCGGGATATTAATTGAATCCAAAATTACTTTTTTTTTCTTTGTTGGACTTGAATAATCTCATGGTCAAAGACAATGCTTGAGAAATTTCCCTTGAATGTTTCATCTTTTTTGTCCACTTGAAATCCAAAGAAAGAATGATTTGATTATGAGATGATACGATGAATGTGGGTAATAGGAGGAACAAATATTTTCTAGTTGTGTTTCACAGAAAAAAATGACCATTTTTAGGGCCCCTTTTTTGAATTTGTCGCACACGTCAGCTTATTCAAACGGCTCTTTTTATTTTTTGGTCAAAAACTTTTTGCTTTGAAGATTAAATATAGGGTGCAGGTTGAAATTGAAATTAATAAAAACTAATGAAAGTGACTAAATCTAGTGGCTTTGATCATTTTGTTGGTTGGTTTATTTTGGATTTATTTATTTTATTGATTTGGAGGTTTGTTTTTATCATTTTTGTCCACTGTGAGTTCAATTTTTCAAAACATCAATTTTGATTTTTGATGTTAGTTTCGTTTTTTTCATTTTTTTTTTCTTTTCCCTAGATGATAGATTCGATTATAGGGTCAAATTCGCCTAAAAAATAACCTAATTTGACCCAATATTTATAGGCTAGTTTTAATTCTATCAAATTAAACAACTTCCATAAGTCTGGAAATTAATACCTTCAACTGAGTTTTTCCAACATTTAAATATTTTTGAGTTTTTCTTTTGACAAGTTAAATATTTGCGGAGGTTCAATTCCTGATACTTACATTTGTTGTACTAAGAAAATATAGCTTTTAATTCTTTATATACATATTATGGGAAAGTTTGATATATGTAAAGATATTTCTATTTACCATAAAAATAAGGTCAATAGTTTTTTTAGTACAACATGTTGGAGAGAGGATTTGAAACAGCTATGCTCACTTTGGCGAAATAAAGCCAATAGTTGAAAGTGGAAAATTTAGAGTCCGTTTGGTAATATTTTTTCGTTTTCAGTTTTATTAAGAAATCTAGACATTTCACAACTATTTATGTTTCTTGTTTCCTATAGAAATTTTAGAAACAACAAAAATAAGTTTCTTATTCCAATATAAATAAGCATCTTGATTCATTCATTCTTGAATCTATGGATATTGGAAGTTATGTAATCCTATTTTTCTTTATTGAAAAATAAGAAACAAGAAACGGTAATATTACACAACGGATGTTTAGTGGTTCTTTTTTTTCTTGTTCCTTGTTCCTTTTTATTTTAGAAAAAAACACTCTTAAATTCCAACCATTTTTTTTTTTGGCGCTTTACCATCTTATACGTTTTTTTTTTTACATTTCTAATTTGGGATAAACAAAATAATAATAATAATAATAATAATAAACATAATATATTTGATAGGATGAAATGGAAGAGTTGTATTTTATATATAGTTATCGTTTTCATTATTTAATCATGAATTGAAATATTATTTCGGTTCGACTTTTTATAAAGATAATAGTTGTTATACGAATTTTAAGTTATTATAGGAAGATTGTAACTTTTCCGATTAGCTTTGAAGTGATAATAGATTGTCATAGAAAGATTGCAACTATTTTTTCTATAACATAACGCTCCTAATAGCGGCATATTTCTATAGAAAGTTTTCATTTCTAGCACATACTTTTACTAACAATGGATTAGAACATAATTATTGGGTGCAATTTAATTCAAGGGGTGATTCACACCTAATTGAGATAATTGAGGCCATTCATCTTGTTGGAATCACCATTTTTAGATTGCCCATCAAAGAAATAACCACCTTTTTTTCACTTTCCAAAAGAGGAGGGAGAGAGAGAATATGATTTTTTTATTATTTATTATTCTGATTTTTTTAATGTTTAGAGAGAAATTTATTAAAAGTTTAGGAAAAAGTGTGATTGAAGTAGGTAATTGTGATGTAACATTGGATTTTTCCATACTTTGAGAAGATAGTGGGACTTTGCTTTTAAGATCTAAAAAAAGCCTTTACAAATTGGAACTTCTTAACCATCAAGTAAGCNCATTATTTTTATTGATTTTTTTGGGGAAAAAAATACGTTTTAAATATGACATTATAGATGAAAATTCAAACTTCCACTAATATTTTAACAGTATATATGTAGGTTGATAATTCAAACTTCCAGACTTATAGACAAGGTTATTAATGGCTGAACTTTTGTCTTAATTAGTTTAACTATATTTAAATTTTTTTTAACTATGTGAATCTTAGTTACAATTAAATTACTATATTCAAATCACTAACTCATATATCAATTAGATTTGAATTATAGGTTTAAATACTATTTTGATTTTTATATTTTCAATATTGGTCTACTTTGGTCTAAGTACTTTCGAAATGTCTGTTTTAGTTCTTTTACTTTCAACTTTTGTTCATTTCAGTCTATATATTTTCAAAATGTTCGTTTTGGTCTTTGTACTTTGAGGAAGTGACCATTTTGATCCATATTTACAAAATTTAACATAAACTTTATCCAGAATAAAAATTCTTTAATACGAATTTGTAGCTACATTTCAAGAAATTTTATGAGTGAAATGTCATGCTAATATTACGATGCAAAGAAATGAGGTAAACTGAACGAAGAAAATATAATAATCAAAACCACATGAAGTATAATGAATAAAGGTCTAAAGTATATAAATGAAAATAGTATTCATGATTCATATAATATTTTATATATTTTTTTAAGAAATACCATTCTAGCTTTTCTTCTTCTTCTTCTTCTTCCTTTTTTTTTTTTATAGATCAATATAAAATATCTAACATTATGGGCTGCCTTTTGCCAAATAACATTTTACACGTGGAGTTTCACTACTGGCCTGTAATCGAGGAGTGGATTGGATCAAATAAAAATAGCTTGGTGGACATATCATTTTTCCAAAAAGAGAAAAAGAAAGAAAAAAAAAAAGAACTTTGGTTGAAAAAAACAATCCCAAATCAATTTTTTCATTGCATCACCAACTTTGTCTTCCACCCTGACATCATCAAACATTTTCTCTTTAGTGTCTTTCCTTTCCTTTAGATTTATATGGGTCCCTATATCTTTCTCGATATTCGTAACATGAAAAAAATATCTAGTAAAAATTTCGTACTACCATAACACATATACCTAAAAGTAACAGAAGACTCACTAATCAGAACAATATTACCATAGCACCAAATATTTGTAAGCTAAATTTATTCTGCCACAATAATTATCACCTAACAATTTTTCAATTTGGGAATACCATAAGAAAAAACCTATATGGTCGTACGCTTAGCTATCCTGGCGTGGAGTACGAAAAGAAACGGGCGACATTTGGAATTTTCCCACAATCCAGTATTGATTTTTTTGAGAAAAATGAAAGAAAAAAAAGTGGAAGAGAAACGTGAAGGATGGATGAAGTTGGGTGGCATAAATGCTATCGCCCTATCTCTTAGAATTCTCAAATGAATGGATGCATTAATTCCACGATCTAAACTTCTCTTCCTCTCGTCTCTACTATTTGCCATTTTTCTAAGAAATAAATCATTATCTTAATAAATAAAAATACATACATAGCAGGGATCAGGAAGATAACATGTTATAAATATGATCTAAATCAAAATGATGGGAGAATATTCGAGAAAACTGTCACTGGATAAGTTAAATCAAATTTTGGCTCTCGGAATCTTAACGTTTCTTTGTAGCTTTCATTATTTATATCGTTCGTGAGATATTTTTAGAGGGTATAATATAATATTATTGGTGTAGAAATGAGAATTTGAATTTATGATCCATAAAATAGGTTGTTTATATATTAATCGGATAGAATTATACTAGCTAAAAGAAAACAATAGTACAATTAAAAATCTATCGGAACTCGTTAATTGGTCCTCCCAATTATCAAGGTCAATGCATGAAACCATGTTCTCTAGGATGTTTTTTTAATGTATGGTTATGAATGCGACATTATTTAAATTTGAAATTGTAGTAGTTTGAAAAGGAATTATTTTAGAGATTAGTATCTTTTTTTTGGAATATATTATATAGATTAGTCTTTATTACAAAGTATTTAATGAAGTTGAAACTAGACCGTGTATTGTTTTTTAAGGTACTATTTAAATTATTCTACTTTTCAAAGGAATATATTTGAATTTCGATTTGACATTAGATTGTTTTCCATCTTCTTATGTGATGTTGACTTTGAGGAAAAAAGATAAATACAAATAAGAATTAGAATATACTATTTTAAATCAAATGAACTTTTATTGGTATTTATCTCAACTCTCAACGGGTGAAGTTTGACTTTAAACTTCTGTAAAATTAAATAGCAATTACGACAAAAAAATTAAAAAAAAAATAAATAATTTTTGCTGTCGTTCTCAGATTTTTTAAGAAAAAAGTACAAATAAAAAATATATTATATACTCCTCTTAATTTGGGTCAAAAAATAAAATCTTAAGCACTTGGTGGTGAAAAGTTATTAAATTCCATGGAAATAAAATGAAATTAAAAGGAGGACAGGAAAAAAAAATTGTCATTATAATTTTGCCACTTGGAGAAGAAGAAGAGGTAGAAGTTTCCCTTTCATTACCTACTCAAAAATAGACAAAAGAAAATAACATCATCCTCATCTCAATGAATTAAAAATGAAATTGCATGTAATTTTTCAAAACATTTCTTAATTTGATTCAACTAGGTTGAATATTTTTAAACATAACATAGTATTAATATTTGTTGAAGGAGAAATCCCAGCCGCGGCATGTTGAGGTTCGGGGGTGACAACTGGGAGGACCACAGACGGCGTGGAGCTTACGAGCAAGGGAGGATAAAAGCTACAYGCCTGCTACGTACTATACAAGATGCACTACGACTTGCAGTCGACTGTCAGGATAGATTGGCAGATGGCAGTGTGTCTATCGCGCACCGAAAATGTCCTCGCCTGCATGTCTGAATCCCGTATGACGAGGAGCACCATGGCGTCACGTACAAAATGTCCCCTGGTCAGCCATGGACACCTATAAAAAGAAAGAGCCACCACCATCAGATAATTAAGTAAAAAAAATCTGTCACTAATATTCAAGGTGCTCTTTGCTACTTCTTACTTCAATTACTAACTTGAACGTTGGAGTCTATTAGACAGGACATCGCATCCGTGTCGAGAATCTTTATTATAAGCTCATTTGTCCGACTCCTCTTTCGTTACTTCATCCTTTCCATATCCCTCTCCCTTGTTCTCAGTTACTCATCAAATGCACTCAATTCATATGTTTAAGTTAGATCATTGACAAGGTTCAAAGAAATGATGATATTTCGTTCCGTAGGACACATAGACCTCTCCAAAACTTGTCATATAAGAATGATAAAAAATAATTAATAAATCAAGCTGTATAAATTTTAGTACATCTACATCTTCAATCAATCATACATTTTAATTTTTTTCTAAATTGTTTCATAACATAATTACATAATAACCGTTTGAAAATTCTTTTTCTACTTTTTATTTTTTTAATCTTGGATGTACTCATGTAAATCATTCARATTTAATCCTAAGATTCTAATCTTATTTCATTATATTTAATTAAACGTTAGTTTTAAATAAATAGTGAAATTAATATTTTCCATTAGTTTAGTTTCCATTCCTTTTAATGACCAGGTCATCAAGTAGAAAAAAACAATATTAATCARGTTGCGAAGAGATACTAATTTTATTCTTTATTTACTAATTTGAACATAATACTTCAACTTGTTAGGCATCTATCTCCGACTGAAAATGTCATGAATTTGAATCCTCATTTCCGCACTAAAAAAAATTGCTTATTCAAGAAGCGCACGTGAGACAGAGTTTTTTTTTTTTTTTTTTTTTTGGGTTGTCAAAAGAGACGAGAATTTAACACAAAAAAGGATGGAAATGATAAAAGAGGATAAGTGAAAACATAGTGTCGTTGTATTTTAATTGCACCAAGCACAGATTTTTTCCTTTCTCTTACTTTATTTTAGTACTTTTCTTTTTAATCTGTTTAGTGGTTAGTTTTAGGGTAAAATATCTTTAGGGTCCTTGAAGTTTTGGTACTAGTTTTTTTAAGTTTCATAATGGTCTACGTTTACCACTTTTGTATAGGAATTTTTTTTTTTTTTTACAACAAATTAGAGGTAAAGTGATTTAACTTCCGATTTCAAAGAAAATAGTAAGTGTCAATTATTGTTGAGCTATGTTTATATTGGTAGAAATACTTTATTTTGGTTCCTGGCATTAAGTCTTTGTTAATCAACTTAACAGAAAACTAACGTAACATATTTAAAAATAAGAACAGTTGACGTGATAGCTTTCAAAATTTAAAAATAATATTAAAACAAAWAACTTCTCTCATCTCCTCCTCTCCCCTCCCCTTTTGAATTTGATGTTTGCCACCGCTTGATGTTGTTGCCCTATAAAGATCTGGAACGAACGAAGAAAAGTTCTTAGTTTATTTCAAATCTAGAACAAACGAGGAAGTTCATCCCAGATCAATCGATGGAGAGATAGGGTGCGGTCGATCAGGGCAGCRGCAAGGGGTAAGGGTTCGGCGGGATAGGGGCTGGTGAGGTGGGGGTCACAATGAAGGTAGGTGACCAACAAGAAAGAGAAAAATCTACCGCGCCATTTTGATTAATAAAAACCTAATGCTAGGGACTAAAATTGCTTCTTTCACTTATTTTTACGATCGAGAGAACAACTACAATCTTACGTTCTAAAATAGAACTATGCGGGGAAAAATATTTCCTAAATAAGAGCAAAAGTGAATGATTTTGAAACCTAGGATCAAACACACGTGCTATGATATCTTAAGGATAAAAACGTATTTTACCTTTAGTTTTGAGTAAATCAATATTCGTACCTTTTCAAAATGAAAAATAGGCAAAGAAATTTTAAGAAAAGTTTATTTTGGTACCATGTTGATTTTTACATTCTAAAATATGTTAAATAAGTCCAGTTTTTAAATTTAGTTTCTTTGGGAGGGGTTGTTTTAAATTTTAATTACACTATCTTTTTAGAATTTCATCTTTGTTTTAACGAGAAGCTAATGAAATAATTTTTAATGTCAAGGGTTAAAATGAAATTTTTTGTATAATTCAAGCTACCTCAAAGTTCATTAGCACAACTAAAATACGTTGTCTATATTCACATGTATTCTTATTTTTACAACTTACTATCATGTCACGCTCCTTACTTCTAATTAAAAAGTTATTACTATGGATTGTTTTGAAACAATTACAAGGATTAAGGGTATCAAAGCTAGCATAGCTCAACGGTAATTGACTTATACTTCTAGGTTATGAGAACACAGGACCTCCCACTCTGATACCATCTTAGAAATGAGCAAACCACCACTCAACCCAAAAACTTAAGCTAATGGGTTTGATAAATTTAATTCATTCATATGGATTCTAACATTATTTTTCTTCTTTTTTGAGGGAGGAATTCAAACCAACTTTTAACATATATAAGGAATATTTTGATCATGCACGCATTGTTAATTTCTAAATTTTGAAAAGTTTTAATAATGTTCCAACTCTAATTTTGATTTTTATGGATTAATTTTTATTTGTGTCTAACATTTTGACCTTATTAAGTTCTTTCATTAGAGTATTTAAATGTCAACCTAATTTTTGTTTTAGAAGAGGAATATGAAGACTTCAACCTCCTATCATTATTAAATTTTAAATAATCTTTTGATAAGTTGATCTGAAATTAAATAACTTCTATGTCCTTTTAAGTAAATTAACCTAGATTGAACCAACGATTAAGGATTTGTGACTTAATGAAATATAGTAGCAAAGTTATATATATTATAAAGTTGAAAGTTGAAAGGGAAACAAATGTAAAAGTTTTTCTTGGGGGTGAAAAATTAAACTCATATTAAACTTTCATTTTCACTTTTTTTTATTAATTCAAATTAACAAGTAGCAATTTTAAATTGCTCCAAATTTACGAGCCCATTCCCATTGTTCACGCCGTTTCCCTCATACGCCGTCGTTTCGGCACTGACCTCGTCATCTTCTTCTTCTTCTTCGTCATCGTCGTCGATTTCTTCAATTTCCTCTGTTTCGAAAAAACAGAGCCGGAGCCGGCCATGGCTTCTCTCCGCCTGAAAACAAGACTGCCTCGCCGGAGTTTTCACCGCCTCGATTATCAGCCGCCCCTCTTCCCGGTGGGGCTTCACCCGAAACGACTCCGTTTCCCTTATCGTCGTCAACGGCGGCGGAAACTGATGCGAATGGGAATGGGAATGGGAATGAAAATTGGAATGGGATTTTCTCCCCCCCTTCCTCTGCAAATCCCCGCCGTCGATCTCCGGCGAGAAAATACTGTTCTCGATCATATCGCTGCCGGTTTCATTCCCCAAATTTTCAGTACAGAGATTCAAGCTCTTCTCGCTCAGACCCGTCGGATTAAATCGCTTCGCCGTCGGATGGACGTACACAGCCTCCTTCTGAATCGCCGGCGACTGGAGGGAACTCCGGCCGCCGGAATCGGCCGGAGATTGCCCAATGTCGATTTCGTCGGCACCGGAAAATGGGGGTTTTGAGGGGAATTCGAAGGGTGACCGGAAAATGAAGGCTCTCTGGTCGGCGAGATGAGAGTCGAGACATGACTGTAAGCCACGGCAGACCATGGTCGCCATTACAATGGAGCTCAAGAACAGAGGAGAGAGAAAGAGGGTTAGAGAGAGAGAGAGGTGATGGAGGATGAGAGAGAGGGGGAAGGGGGTGAATTTGTAGGCTTCAAAAAGTTTCAAAAGTGTGGGGTTTTGGTTTTGGTTTTTGGTGCTTTCTTTTGCCACCACTTGAATTGAATTTCTTGTACAAAATAATAATAATAATAATAATAATAATAATAATAAATTCTTTTGTAATCTTCTTTTTATTGATGTATTTTTCTTGAAACTATATAATAAAATGGGAGAGTTTATCACAAAATAAAATATCCAACCTAAGGAATTGTTTTGGTAAGACAACATTTCTATTTTCTCTAGGTTTGAATCCTCATTCATAGATTTGTGATGTTATAATCTTAAAAAAAAAAAAATACTATTTTGGTAATTTCAACTTTAGTTTGATTCGGGTAGTCAAAAATTAGTGATCGTCATGAGATTTAAACTTATTTCCTCTTAATTTACTCTAATATCTTTGAACCAATGAGCTACTAATATAGTTGGTTTATTTAGAATATTCATTTTGGTCCATGTACCTTAAAAAAATGATATCTTACTTCTTTCTATCGTAATTTTAGCATGACGCTCTCCTCACTAAATATATTTTTTGAAAGATAGCTATAAATTTGTATTAAAGGGTTTTCATTGTATATAAAATTTTGTAAAAGTATGTTGAATTAGTCGCTTTTTAAGTATAAAGATCAAATATATGGTAAAAAATACAAAATTTAAAATGAATAAAAATTGGAAACATATACTAAAATTAATATTTCAAAAGTATATAAATTAAAAGGAACAAATAATATTTAAATCAAAGAATGAAAAACTTTGTTTTTGCTTTTTTCTTTTTCATAATTTAAGCATAATAAAGTAAAATTTATTGTTACATCTGTAATAGGTTGATTGAGTCAATTTTTTCTTTATGCTCTTAAGAATTGTGGTTAACTTAATTGAAGAAAGTTGGATATCTCGAGTAAAAAATTTGATACAATCAATGATATTGAATATCACTGTTCACTCGAGTAGATAGGTTATTGGGATAAAATTAAAAGTTTTAGACTAAAATTGATTCCTTCGGAAAAATACAACCACGATGTAACAAAAATGACGCGTGCTCGTCTTCTAACAATGAAATAATAAAAATGTCGTTAGACTAGTGACACTTTTTTTTTTTTCCGAAAAAATGCTTGAGCCCCTCGATAATTTATCCAAATATTCTCTAGGTCTTTTCATGAACATATGGAGAGAGAGAGAGAAAGATTCAGAGGGGTTTGAATTTGATCTTCATTCCCTAATTCCAAAAGAATATAAAACAAAACAAAAAAAGGACAGGAACAAATGGGATCCCCTATTTATTTCTTTGACATTCATGCCCTTCTCTTCTTTGCGGTTTTTGCAAAATCAGGTCTTGTTTTCTTGTTATTATCCCATTCCATTTTCCCTCATTATTATGTTTAGACAATAAGAATTAAATAATTATTTCGATGCTTTTAAGTTAGGAAATTGTGATTATAGATAATAAGGTTAAGAATTTTTGCCTGAGATCATACTCCTGCCGTTACTCCCTCAAATCTCTCCCGATTTTGATTGCTTAATTAGGAAACAAGTTCGACGACTAAGTTGTCATTCATGGAGGAATTTCCTTAAAAGGGAATTTAGATTTTTAGCGTGGTTTGTCGTCGAGTTACTAAATTGAAGTTTTTATTCAACAAAACCATGTTACTTGTCAAGAAAGGCATGAAACAAGCAAAAGGGGGAGAGGAAAGTTTCATGGCTTGACATGAATAAACTATGAAATTGATACTTTTGTTTGTTGGATTTGCTATTTTTTAACCATTTATGGCTACATATGTGTGCATGCTTGCCAATTGCCACTAATTTTGTAAGCATTTTTCTTTTGTGATTGTGTTGAATATATTTATTCTAACACTAGACTTAGGCTCTTTTCTTTTGGGTTATTTTATTAGTTGCATTGATCTATATCTTGGCTGGTTTCATACCATTTTCTAACCTAATTTCATTACTTTATTCGATTTCATGGATCCAACTTTCTCAATTCGGCGAATTTGAATATAGAGGATCCCACTGTTTTGTTCCTTATTTTAGTTTTGGTTCATTTTGGTYACTGTACATTCATAACATTCATTTTGACTCTTATATTTTTAGTTTTTGTCAATTTTAGTCYATATAATTTCTAAGGGTTCGATTTGGTCAATGTACTTTTATTGACTATTTTGGTCTCATCATTTTCTTTTTTATCTCATTTTTTCTACTAAAATTTGTAACCACAAAGCCACATTAAATAATTTTTTTTAACGTAGTCATAGCTCTGTACTAAAGGGTTTCCATTGTGTTTAAATTTTGTGTTAAATTTTTATAAATAGGGACCAAAATAGTTATTGCTTTTTAAAAGTACCATGACTAATACAAATGTTTAGTACGGAGACTAAAATAGACAAAAATTAAAAAACATATAGACGTTTTGTAAGTACGCTTACCAAAATGAATTAGAACAAAAAAAAAAGCATGGAGAATAAAATAGTAGTAAGAAAAAACAAAACTTTTCTCCTTTAGTAACGAGGGTAATAATGGAAATATGTGAACATCAAAATTACTTTAATAGTTGAACTGTTACCAAGGACAATCTTCCTTAATTTGGAAAACATAGAGGAAAAGAAAAACTTTTTGTTAGTAGATCTGTTCGCTTGCAAAAAGAGCCATTTGTTCCAGCTATTAGATTACCCTATGTAGAAAATAGGCATTAAAAAGAAAACAGTGGAGTTAAAAAAAGGTGATGATGTGGACTGGCAAACTTGGGAAATTTATCCACTTTAATAAATAAAGGTTAAATTAAAAGCTTTGTTCTGTTGAGTTTTTTATTAATGGCTCGTTTGGTAACGCTACCGATTCTTGTTCCTGCTTCTTCATTTTAATAAAGAAAAATTAATTGCATTGTCCCAACATCCATGAAAGTACGATAAAACAATGTTTTTATTTATGTTTTGGAACAAAATTAGAAATGGGAACAAGAAAGAGGAAACTTGTGTTGGTTGTTTACAAACTTTCTATATAATTTTGGGAATGTTCCAAAAAAAAAAAGGAGAAATAAGAAATATAGTTAGTTGTAAAATGCTTAAATTTCTTAAGAAAATTGTAAACGATAAACGTTACCAAACGAGCCCTAAGTTACTAAAGTCATGTTTAGTCGGAAACTCTATTCTGTTTTTCGTTTTCAAATTCAATAGATTCAATCAATATACATTTGACAGGATTTGGGAGATTCGTTTTTTGAAAATTATCTTTGGATTATGTGATCTAAACAGTAAAAATTCTAAAAACGACTTTTTTTTTATATATTTTTTCAGTGTTTTTCAGATTTATAATTTGAAATTTTTAAGATGCGGAATTACATTAAAAAGGATAAAAAACTTTGATAAATATATTACTTCATATTATAAACTCATTTTATGTTTGTTAAAATTAAAACATGTAAAATATGATGTATTTTAAACTATATAACGTTGTAAAATAATAATTATACAAAATTCATAAAAAAAATATTAATAAATTAATTCATATAACTATAGATTAAACTAAATATTTTGTTTTTAACTACTTTTAGTTTACAAATATATCATTAGACATCAATTTTTTAAATATTTGTTGCCAAAAAAATATATGAAAATACTGAAAATAAATAATACAAATCTAATTTTAATTGAATCTCTTGTTTTTATATTTCTATTTTATTACCAACCAAATACATCCTAAACCTTCTAGACATGACGATACTTAATGATGTGTCTAATAGTTCTTTATTATTAACTTTAAGGACGGCCCAATAGAATTTTCTTAAAGTAATATGAACTAAAATAGATAAAACTCCTGAAAATTCAAGTAAATATAGAAAAATTTTCAAAGTACAGAAAATTAAGGACCCATCGGTAACATTTCCATTTTTGTTCCTRTTTCCTTCTTTTTTAATGTAGAAAAATAAAATTGCATGTCTCCAACATCTTTGGATTCAATAATGATAAAACTATATTTTTATTCAAGTTTTAGAACAAATAAATTGAGAAGGGAACAAGAAACATGAAATTTATTTCCGTTGTTTCTAAAACTTTTATACAATTTTGAAAATGTTTTACAAAATCAGAAACAAGGAACATAAAATAGTTGTCAAAGCTTAGGTTTTTTAATAAAATTAAAAATAAGAAACAATAAACGAAAACGTTACCAAACGAGATCAAAATAATATCTATAATCAGAAACAAATAAACAAGAAACATCGTCACTTATATTTAAAGCAAGACAATAGAAACGCAAAAGCTGAATGGTGTTATTTTTTTCCCACTTGAAAGGCCTTTCTGGCTGTGCTCTGTAACCTTCCCTATATAGAGGTTTAATTAGGATCCTCCCCTTTTGCCATTACAACAATATAATACAATAAATTAACTAGCTTTGGCAACTATATAACTTTTAAAAAATTAACAAAATAAAAAGATATATATGTCATATTGTATTAATTTGTACCTTAGGTTGAAACTTTTATAAACTTTTAAGAATGCATGTTCCCTAACTTTATAGGAAGTGGGCATAACTTGGGTTAAATATCCTAGGTTATTATCCTATGATATATTCTCTTTGTACTAGTTTTATTCCATTATTTGTACACCCCCTTGTTTATTATTATTATTTTTTTAATTATGCTTTTTTTTTCCTTTTTTTTAGTTCTAATCCATCCAACTTAGTGCTATAATTAGCCCCAAAATGAAAATCAAGAACATGGTTTTGCGTATCAATGAAATTATCGTATTAGATTCACCTGAAGTGAAGCTAAAGGAGTAACGAGGTCGAGTTGTTCGAGACAAATCGCCCAACCCAACTCAACTAGAGTCAAACCAAATCAAGCTTTGACCCAACTAGGTAGAGTCGATCATACTTAGTGGTCCACTCGCAACAACATGAGGATACTCCTTCTATAAATAAGACAAGATGTCTAGGGTGTGACGTACGTTTTGTAAATAACTCTTTGTCTGACTAAAACATCAGATTGTATTGAACGTGCACATCGGTGTGTGCATGTTTCTTGTATACACAAGTGTGAGTCCTTATCCAAATTCTGCATCAATAAATAATATAATATATTTAAATCCATGATGGCTAGCTACCTATTTTAGAAATTAGTAATTCCTATGTATTTTTTAGTACAAAACGTTGTAGGGTCAGTCGGTTGTTCCGTGAGATTAATCGAGGTGCGTGCAAGTTATCTCAAACAGTCACGAATATTAATAAAAGAAAAAAAAAAATATATATATATATATATATATATAATCTATTTAAATTATTGTTATCTCAGTTCTAAGTATTGTGTCAGAACTCGTGAGTTTTAAAATATAATTTTTTTAATTTGGTTAAGTTAATATTTAAAAAAAAATGTAGATTAGAGAGAATAATGCATCAGAATTCAAAGAATGCTTAATTTTATTATTTTATTTGCAGGACGATTTTCGAGATCTATGCTTTGGAAAGTAGACCATAGTATACACTTAATTTGGTACAAGTGATTAATTTCTTCATCAAAATAATTTTATTCTTATATTCCTTTTAATTATGTATATCAATAAATTAAACGAACTTTAATTTTGAATCAGTGGAGAAAGTAAATATCCTCAATTTATTATGACCGAGATGAACTACATTAAAATTGATTTTGAAAATAACTTTTGGATAATTTTGTAAAAATCACTATTTAGGAACTCACAACTTAAAAATAAAATAAAATAAAATAAGCAGGTCCTCCATAAAATAAATAAACAAACAAACAATTATTTATATATTTTTCACGGTATAACTTATTTCTACCAAATTCGTAATCCACTCGAAACTCATTAATTCTTGAGTCATTGTTCTTCCATTGGCATTCCCCAATCACTACCAGTCACTAGAGAAGTAAGAGAACGAATGTATAACAATAATTTCAGATTTTGACTGGATTTAATTGTACAACTTTATATCTAGATTGTAGACAAATTCATCCCACTGTTTCACGTTAAAGATCGCTATCGTTATCTTTTTAAAGCAAAAGATGTCACAATAATATAATAAAATAATATTGAAAGACTATGCGTCATGTTCCCTTTAACAAATTGAATAAAAAGCCCTATAAAGTATAAAGTTAGCACTTTGGTTTTTAATTTTTATTTTTTTAGGCACCATTGAAATTCATACAATAATCTAGACTTTATTGGGAAGGACAAGAGAATCCAGTTCATATACTAATCAAAAAGGCCATTTTACATTCCCTCTCCCACCATTTTTGACCATATTCTAGTGCTTCCCTTCTTTCATTTTCAATTCTTTTATAATGTATTCTACATTATTTTTAGGACATTAAAAACTACTTAAAACTACTTTTTAGATACATAGTAAAAAGAATTTTAGAAAATTATAAGACTAAAAGAAAAGAAATTTTGTAAGTGAGTTCAACGTAGCTCAGTGATTCTATGACATTGAACGAATGTGGAAAAAGTTAAAAACTATATTTCGAACCTGTATCGAAATTAAACTAGATAGATTTTGAACTTGCATCAAACTTTTATTAAAATCAGACAAATTTTAAATTTGAATGGAAGGGATGTTAAAGAGCAGTCACGCTGTTCGCAGCAATTTCTATTAGTTAAAATACTTAGCTATGAACATAAGTTTTTTAACATCTTCTTTTTTAATACAACGTTGGAACGAGGCGATTCAAACTCATGACTTCTTGGTTAGAGACAAGTACTAATTATAGCTGAGTTACACTTATATGAGTCATTTCTGTCTTGAAATAATTTTAAAGTGTTTTTTAATTATTGAAAAAATATATTTTACTTACAAATGTTGGTCGAAAAAATCCGTCTAATACTCAAAACTCATTTTTATTTTATCTTTAAAAAACGTAAAAGAACAATTGCATACGTAATCCGTGCAACCTTATCATGTAGCTATTAGGAGTTAATTAATATATATATATATATATATATATATATATAATGAGGTAATAAATTTATTTTAATTGCAAGTGAAATTAATTAATTATGGTTATTAAAAAATAATAATATTTTTTCATCGAGCCCACGAAAAGATACTCAAAACGTTGCCGTCTGGTATATGACTAGACATTCACATGATCAAAACTCAATTTGCATTCCTCTTAAAAATAATAATAATAAATAAATAAATAAAGTCATTTATGATCTAGAAGCAAGTTAATTAAGTCATGATAAATTGGAATAAGATAATTTTTAAAAAATATTTCTCTATTTTTCTTTTACATTTTAAAAATATTTTTGAAAAATGAAATTAACTATTGTATATAATCTTTCTAATTTTTTCTAAAGTTGTTTGTTAGGCTAATAAAGAGCTCAATTTAAGTTTCTATTTTTTTTCTAAAATTTTAGAATAAAAGTTATGTCTTGTATGGTAACAATAGGTTTGTTTTTCACCAGTCGCATTCCATTTCTAACCAAATATACTTAAAATATTTTTTATTTAAATAATTCAAACCTCGGCATTAAATTAATAACTACCAAAGTTGTTGGAGGAGATATTAAAAGTTTGATTTAATAATTAATGCATAACCAAATCCTTTATGTCACTTCCATTTAAAAATAATTGGCAACCAAAACCAGTATCCAAATTCTTTCCACTTCCATTTTTGGTATGTATTTATTATTTGTAATTCATCATAATAAATAACCTCATATTATAAATAGTTTATACTTGGTTCTTTTTTACTTGACTATATTAAAATTTCTTATAACATTTGAAAAAATATTTAAAGAATGGTTCAAGTTGAAGATCTTCATTCGCGTTCCACTACCAATCAGGTACGATTAACAATTTAATAACTTTTTCTTTAATGAAAAGTGTTCTTCAATTTATATTTATATTTGATTTTGTTTAAAGTTGAACCTATTTCGTTTGATAATAAGTATTTCGAATTCAAATATTATAAAATTTAAACTGTGAAAAAGGAAGAGGAATAAATTTAATCATAAACTTTGAAACTTTATGTTGCATACTACGTTGAGGGGTTTTTTTTTCTTTAAAAAATCGATGTGGGATGTCATGTGACTTATGATAGTTGATCTCTATAACCGAGATTCGTTGTCTAGGTTGATCTTCTTTTAAAATTCAATATCGTGTGACTTATGATAGTTGATTTCTATCATCAAGATTCGTTGTCTAGACTAAGCAATGTCATCAGCGTAGATATATTTCTACTTTGAACTTTTTTGAAGTGGAAAATGTGGGCTGAAAATTTAGCTTTAATATTTTAGTTTGTTTTTCTTTGTCTGAAAACAAGCTTGCTCATCACTAACCATTTCTCTGTTTTGCTTTTTAATCTTAATATTTTTTAACTGTAAAAGTTGGTCACGTT